CCCCGAAATATCTGGGCCTTTTAAGAGCTTGGCTTTCAGGTCAGGATATAAGATGGGAAGATGGGTGATAGATTTGACCATGTGTCATCATGGTGGAAAAATTGATTCTGAATTGCCTGTGGGATCCAGAATGGGAAAAGGAAAAGCCTGATGGTGACATAATAGTCAGCTAGGGAATTTGATAGGTTATTTCCCTATTAATAGAGGGCCCTCTGTGTTTCTTGCACCAATCTAGGCCCTGGGGGACTGAGCTAAGCAAAAATGTCATGCAAAGGGTGTTTACCATGATGGGGCTTGGATTTGAGGTTGGGTTATGACTTTGGAGTTGAACAGAAGAAGGGGAATAGAGAGGGAGAGGTCTGGGCTTACTCTCACTTTAATTTTGAGAATTAATGCTGGGAGAATGCCTGTGTCTGAGAGATGTCGATGGGACAAGGTTTGTTTTGAATAAAGAGGAAATATATTAATAGAGGGAGAAAAAAAAGAGAGCATGGGTACTCAGGTCAGGGTGTGCCCTAAGTGTATGCAGTTATCATCGTAGGGTAAGACATCTTCTCTTGGTGAATGACAACATTTTTTTGGATCAGGTTTAGCAAATTGCAAAATGGGAAAAGGGTGCTATGTTACTATTGACTCCGGCTGGTTTCCTGCTCTGGCCTTGTGTCCTGTTTCCACAGTGACCTTCTGAGAGAGCACTGCACCCACACAGACAGCTGTGCTGTTTCATGAACAGAGCGTTCTGGCCCGACTCCTGGAGACCAGTCCCAGAGAGGTGTTCCCACCTGAGAAGGGCCCAGCATGCTGATCTCTTCTTTTGCTCAAGGGTTGGGATCTCTCTGAAGAGAAGGATGTCCCAAAGTTGGGGAAGAGGAAGGTTTCTTTTTACATTCTTTTATGTTTTCCACCTACGCTTTGCATTTAGAACGGATCCTTTGTTTTTATTCCTTTGTATATGCTCAGTTCTTTGGACTGAGTGTTGCTTTGGGAACAGATGACTCTATGTCAGTAATTCCCCAAGCTCAATATCTTTGTGACACAGATTACCCTTTTACTAGATGGTATTTCTGGCCCGATTATCTCTGACCTTCACTTGAGATGATGTAAATGACTGGATGTGGTAGGTTTCCATTGACTGTTATTTACGGTTGACACATTGCAGGAGCCCTGGGTCTCTTCTCTTAATATTTTCTCTTTCATTTGTTTGGCTTACCCTTGCCAGTCATTTTAGCAATTCTTTTCTCCCTGTAGAAAAAGTGAAGGATTGCGCTTGTTACTTATGAATAATTGACCAGAAAGTTTGAAAGAATCTAGACTAGAAATGTTAAATTTCATGTGGTCTTTCAAAACCAGAGTCAAAAATCATTTTACACACTATATATATACACATATATATATGTGTGTGTGTGTGTGTATATATATGTGTGTGTGTGTGTACACACACACACACATATATATATATACTTTTTTTTTTAACAATTTGAGACACCTACATAATGCATAAGTGATAAAGTGTATTGAAGCCCAAATAGGATATGCTTTATCTCTGTTTGATAATAAAATGTCTCAAAGTATACAATACTGTAGGCTTTCAGTATTTTTATTGTAAAATAAGAGCTGGAATGAGATAGAATATGGATTCTTTATTCTCTCTGCTTCTTTTTATAATGCTGTTCAGATATATTGCCTGGGCATATTTCCTTGTGTTTATCAATAAAGCAGATTCCTTTATATACATAGTCCAGAAAAATTACTTGTAATTTAAACTTTATATTAAAAGTGACTTAACTTATGGTTTAAATTTCTCTTTTTCTTCTATTTCTTTTTTTAATGTATACTTATTTATTTATTAATTTTTTTAAACATTTATTTATTTTTGGGAGAGAGAGAAAGAGAGAGTGAGCATGAGCGGGGGAGAGGCAGAGAGAGAGAGAGGCAGACACAGAATCTGAATCAGGCTCCAGGCTCTGAGCTGTCAGCACAGAGCCCGATGCGGGACTTGAACTCATGAGCTATGAGATCATGACCTGAGCCGAAGTCAGATGCTCAACCGACTGAGCCACCCAGGCGCCCCTGTGTATTTATTTATTTTGAGAGAGAGAGAGCATGCATGCACACACATGTGTACATGAGTGGGGGAGGGGCAGAGAGAGAGGGAGTGAGAATCCCAAACAAGTTCCATGCTGTCAGTACAGAGCCTGACGTGGAGCTGGATCCCCTGAACCGTGAGATCATGACCTTGGCCTAAATCAAGTGTCAGAGGCTTAACTGACTGAGCCACCCAGGCGCCCTCTTCTATTTCTGATTGAAATTTACCAGGAAATCATCCCTTAGCACTTACTGTTTGTAGAAAGGGAAATAATAAGAGATCATTAGCCCTTACAGAAAAATTAGTTCTTGTCTTGGGTTTGTCTACTGTCAGGTAATTTTTCTGCTCAAACTCAGCTTGTGTAGCAGTCCTGGTTAATTGCTTCCCAGGACTTTGTAGTATAACTTATTCAACATAAAGTATCTGAAGATTTTAAAGATAAAAAGACACCTATGAAAAACTGTGTTATGGAATGTTTGAGCTGGAAGAGAACTTTGAGATCATCTAGTGGACAGATTAGTAAATTGAGGCTAAGAAATGCTGTGTGGCTCACAGTACACAGCAAGGACTAACAATTGCATTTCTTGAGGCCTTAAAGGGTCTTTTTTTAGGAAGGCACAATTTCCGCAGAAGTCGAGGACCATAAGAGTAGCACAAGGAATAAACATGCCAGTGTTGTTGGTTATAATCGCTCATAATACCAGAGCAGGGGTGATGGTACCATTGGTTAATACTCATTTAAGGACCTAGATTTTTGTTTTTTCCTTCTTCAACTATAACTATTTCTTTGTGTTTTTATCCTCTAGCTTTCTTCTCCGTCTTACTTGATATGATCAAATAATTGGCTTATCACCAACTAGGATTTATTGGTATTACTAATAACCAGCTTTTGTATGTAGTTTACAGTCCACAGAAGAGTGCCAAGAAGTGGTCTGATATCCACATTTTATGATTTTTTAAAAAGTGCAAAAACCAGAAATGATTTGCCCACGCTCCCACAGTTGAAATAAAGGGAGATCAAAAAGAATATTGGTTGTGAATGTTTTTGCACCTTACCAAACTGTTTCTGATCTATTCTGTATTGAGTTCAGCCTTTTTGTACATCTGAGAAAAACAAAAAATATCTTTCAAATAATTAAGAAATTACTTTTCCATGTGTTCTGCCTTTGATTTCTTTTTTCTCTCTCATATCAGGGACTATCAAAAGACAAGTTCATCTCTCCCCAAATT